TTCTTTCCATTTTAAAGGTTTTTTTTTTTTTTCCTCGGGGGGGAGGGGCTCATAGAAGGCATTTCATGAGCCTCAGTGTTTTAGAGAATACTTCCTAGAAGGAGAAAGCTGGCTGCATGTCTGAGGGGTTGCTTCACATCCTGGCTTTGTCACGTGCTTGCTATGGAAATCCTGTGGCCATTCACGCCATGTCTCAGTTTCCTGTCAGTAAGATGATGACCACAGCCTATCTTTCCTGAGGTCAGTGCGAACACCTGAGTCACAGCGTCTCACCAACTGTGCTCTTGTATCAAGGTGGCTTGTAACACTTTCGTTTCTACTAATTTATTTTTTGTTGTTTTTGTCTTTGGTTTGAGGTACCTTCTCATTCTGAAGCCCTGGCTGTCCTGGACCTCAACTGTGTCCACCAGGCTGCCCTAAATTCATAGAGATCAACAGGACTCTCCTCCTGAGTGCTGAGATTAAAGGAGTTCACATCATGGCTCACCTAAATTTTGGTTTTATATACAGCATTTTGAAATGACTTGTCTGTAGATGAAGAGATTAAAAAGGTTTTGGATCTCAACAGAAACACCTAATAAATTAAAGGGTCATTAAAGTTAGAAAAAAATATTTTCTCCATGTAAAAGTTCCAGTTATAAGAAAAGTTTAGTGAGCCGAGAAATAATGTGCTATTCATATTAGTTGTTCTTGTTATTCTGACCATGGCTATATTTATTTGAAGAGTCGATGATCTCTGATGTCATTCTACAGGAAAAAAATCATGGAGAGGGTTTTTCCATATTTACATTATTCCATAACACTGTTTTAAACCTACATCTTTATTGACATCTAATAGAGTCAACCAAAGTCATTCTCAGACTGTCATAAACCCCTGTCAGCCAGGCTTCTCTCTTTCTTTCTTTTATGAATGGAGTAACTGTTAAGTGATCTCAAAAAAATGAAACTTGTACAGTGACCCTATTAATTATACTGATATTGATTTTTTTAAACTGGCAGAAACTTGGAAATAAAGTGAGCTAAAAAAACAAAAACAAAACAAAAAAACACAGTTTTGGTAGAGAGAAAATGTCAGTTTCGAAAATCATCATAAATAATGCAAAGTAAATGCTGTGCTAAACTCTATAAAAGAGGAGCTTTAGGAAGTCTTCTCCTTCCCAGCTCAAATAAATTTTTTTTCTAAAAGATACCCATATTAGACACAGAACACCGATCACATAAGCCATGGTACTCTTTCCTAGCACAATCTAGAGTCCTCCAAGGAGGAGGAAAAAAAATCAAAGGATAGCAGAGTTTTGCTCCACATTGAGCTGAGGATTGGGTTTGGAGGGATCTATTTACCTACAACCTGACATCTACTGGTGGACAACATATGCCCATTGAAGTCATAGAAACCTCCAAGACGGGTAGCCTGGACATTCAAAGGTCGAGAACAGAAGTAAAGGACCAAGAGAGAGTAGTGGAAAGCCCACAGCTTGCATTTTCCCCCAGGTGCCTGAGACATTGCTTTTCTGGTAGCTACCACATCTGGAACTCTTGAAAGTTAATGAAGGGACATGCATATTTTTAATCACTTTTCTTCAAAGTAAACCTATAAGTCAATGATGCTTCTCTGGGTTCTTCAGACACACATCTCAATCACTTGGATGCTGAAGCTCATGCATGCCATGATGAGCAACACTGATCTTAATCAGAGGTATGGTGAGAAAACATGTGGTTTCTGGGCAGAAGTCATAAAGTAAATTACTGTTGACAGTAAACTCCTGAGAGGTGAGGGGAACATAAAGCTATGTTTGTGTTGTTTTAATTCTTTCAGAAGAATTTAAACAATGTTTTTAAACATGTGTAGTGACCCAAAAAGAACTCCTTCTTTAGGCATGGTGAAGCCAAGAGGTAAGATGAGTCAGAATGTTTTTTTTTTTCTAAGTTGGACAAGTTTTTAAAATATGCGCAGTAAATATGACTTATGAAGCTGTTCATCCCTGAAGAAATTAAAACAGAAGCCATGTTCCCAAAAGTATGTCCGTTTTCCCGTAGGGTATTTCCCAGAGTAAGCCTGCATTCTGTCTGATTTTATAAACATTTGCAGAATATCTAAACATGTTTCTACAAAGTCTGTTCCTGGGTCTCTTTAGAGCCACAGTTGGCAATCATGCCACCTGTTACAGCTTAGGAATTCTGGGATAGAAGTCTCCTTATTTTTAAATTAATTTATTCATATCCTTTTGGTTGTTTGGGTTTTTGTTATTATTATTATTACTATTTATTCATTTTGTAGCCCAGCTGTAGCCCCCTTCCTTGTCTCCTCCCAATCCCATCCTCTCCCCCCCATGTTCCTCTCCTGGTAGGGGAGGACCTCCTCCCTATCTTTATGTCATCAGGTCTCATCAGGACTGGCTGCATTGTCTTCCTCTGTGGCCTGGCAAGGCTGCATACCCCAAGGGGAGGTGATCAGAGAGCCTGCCACTGAGTTTATTATTCTCCCAATAAATCTTTGTAAATAGGGACGTTAAATAGAAATAGGTGTCTTATATCCCTATACATCCCAAATGCTAACAAGCTCTCACATTGATAAGTAAAATATGGTGCTAAACACAAAAATAGCAATTATCAGAATTTACTTTTTAATATATTTTTAATAAAGGGATAAACACGAGATTGTGAGATCCATTTCTAGCACTCCCTTCAGCAGTTCAGTTTCTCTAGGAGAACCAGTCTTATTTTCAGGCAGTTGTGCTTCACAGATGGTAACAGCGTGTTAAATAAGATTCAGCTGTTTAGTCAACACATAATCACTGAGTACACATTATGTTTCTGTCCGCATGTCAGATACAGGGCAGGGTACCAGGTAAAGAGCGGGCACTAAAGGCAGCCATCTCTCACTAAGAGTCTGTTCTGTTCTGTTTCCTTCTCCATCTATGTGTATTCTACCTTAAAGTTTCTGACTGGGGCTGGAGAGATGGCTCAATGGTTAAGAGCACTGGGGGCTCTTAGAAAGGACCTCAGTCCCATACTATTTGGCACTACTGTTGCATCTTAATTGTTTCATGTGGACCTTCTAGAGAATAAGTTTCTGTTTCTTTAATATTATGTTTCCCACAGAATTAGAACAATTATGTATATGAAAGATGTATTTGTTGCTTAACTGATCCAAGGTGTTTATGGCTAAAACACCTTTTAAGAACCGTTTACAAGAGGACCAAGCTACATGTAATGTGTGAAGAAAGATTATAAGGCGTGGTCTCAGATCTAAAAGAAGGGTGAGCTCCTATTGTCTCACGAATGTCTCTAGAATTAACAGTGTGGTTAAAGTCCAGTTCAGTTGTTCAGTGTTGTTTTGCAACACTGATTTTCTAGTTAATCTCTGCATGTATTTGTTCTGTCTGTTTCTCATCTAGATCCTCGCCTCTGTGAAGACAGGATGACTCTGGGAATGAAATGCATCATAGCAGCAAGGCCTCATTCAGGACTGACTTAGGTTCTTAATCCTTGACCTTCTGGCTCCATAAAGAAAAGGGACTGAAAAATTCATGGGTTGAAAATCTTGAACTAGGATGAGATCTTAAATTGTGAAACAGAACCTAAGAAGGTCAGATGGTTCCAAGGAGGTCAGGAAGATACCAACTAAGGACCTCTGATGCCAGTCTTCTCAGAGAGGCAATTATATGTGAGGGGAAACTGTAAATTTTCTCTCATATGCAGGATTAAACAAATAATATAATTAAATTAAAAAATTATAAAACATTCTGTCAATATTTATGTCCTTTAAGTAGGTATTTTAAGCCTTTAAAACTTGATGTTCACTATAGCTTTCTTTAAATTTATGTGTCTATTAATGATAGGTTAAAAATGACTTTTGTATGTGTTTACTACATAACAAAAAGAAGCCTGGCTAATTGGCCCACTCACATTTTCCCACATGGACTGAGATCCTTGAACTGCAGGTACAATTTCTAGAAGAGAGTAAGTGCTATCTGGTGTCTCAAAGAATGACTTTGCTCAACTTTAAAAATAGTATGGGGTATGATATGGGGAGTATAGTAAAGACAGAGGATGAAAAACTTCATAGCAATATTGTTCAATTTCTCACAAATAGTAATGCACACATAGAATATAATATTCATACTTAGAAAATGTGAGAGCACAAATTGTTACTTTTGATAGTCTTTAAGAGATTATTATCACACTCAAAAAATCTAAAAGATAAATCAAATATACATTTTTCTTCTGTGAAAGAGTAATTGTGGACTGGCACATCACTTTTATCCTAAACAATACAAGTGTCTTTTGCTAGGAAAAAGGGGGGACAGGGCTTTTAAAATTAGGAAACAGACAGAAATCTTAACTATCATACTTAGGTCTATAATATACAATTTTAGAAAGCTGAATCGACTATAATTAGGTAGGGATGAAAAGTAAAAAATCTCCATTATTCATTTTGGGAAACTGTTAAAAAATCACCTATACTCTAATTTTTATCTAAGATGAAGTTAACCAAAGGTTCACAATATTAAAAGTGTGTATCAGAAATTTAGTATGGTTTACTGTCATTGTTACACAACACTTCATATAACACCAAAGTAGCAACAACAACAACAAAAATCTAAAATCTAAGCCCCCAGCAACTAAAGTAATAGTAACCCTCTCAGGGCCTCTCATTTCCTGTCTTGTCTTTCTTAATGAATTTCTGTCAAGTATTCAAGTAATCTCGAATAAATTGACCCAGGAAGACTTGTCAAAGCAACACAGTTACTGAGTACTGGAAGAATCTTTCTTGAGGTCATTCCAGCAGTTAACTATCAGAAATCAGTAACCACTTCCTTTGAAATTCCAAGGAATGCTGCTTCCTTGACTTCACGTCAGCTTTCATCACCAACCCACCAGACGACATTTTCTAGCACAAATGAGTCATTCAGTTAATGTTCCATTCACACAACCAGCTGAAAATGGTTTCCATTCTGTGTAAAAGGGCTGGACAACAGCAGAGACTGCTTGCTTACCATTTGCCTTCTTCATTCTCATATTGCTGAACAGTGTATCCAAACATGTCCTCCACTGGGCCACTGAAACTCATTGAATTTTTCACATCAACGTTGAAGGATATGCACAAGCCTAGAATAACTTGAGAGGGGAAAGAAAGTCTAGTTACACAAGGCTGCCTGAGAACATGTTGTGTTTTGGAGGATGGGAGATATTCTTAGGGTTTACCAGTTGAAAGTTGTGCTGTTGTGAAAAAGAACTTTGAATCTCAAGAGAATGATGTTATTCACTGGGCATCATCAGGGGGACTTTTAAAATGTTTGGAAATATCTGTACAATTCCAAGAAGTAAAATTTCAGGATTGAGTGGGAGTCACAGAAGTAACTAATGAGTTTGCATATAGTTTCCCAGAGTTATTCCTATGGTAAAATGTGCCAGAAATTATCTAAAAAGCACCCTTTCCCCTCTGCAAGTTCTGACGATGCAGGCTGTTACATTTAAGCCTTACTGGAAACAGCTATACTGTTTCTGAAAGGAAATTGCCTTTCCTTTTGATGGTCTTTAGAGGATTGTTTCCACTCAGGGGTGTCTTCCTATGAAGGCCTGAGGTAAGTTCTGTTTCTCCTGCTGAACCAAGCAGAGGATGGAAGTTTATACTAACACAAAAATGCCTCCTTGCAACAGTGTTGACTGATAGCCTCACAACATTTTAGATGAAATTAGATAATATTCCCATTAATCCATGCCTGGTACATATATGTACAATGAGAGCTTATCTCTTTCATTTCTGTATGATCCAGGTTTTTTTTTTTTTAATGTTTTTAGAGGGGCAGCGGTGGTGCATGCCCTTAATTCCACCCAGCACTAGGGAGACAGAGGCAGGCAAATCTCTGTGAGTTCAAGGCCAGCCTATTCTACAGAGTGAGTTAAGACAGCCAAGGCTACACAGAGAAACCCTGTCTTGAAAAACAAAAAACAAAACAAAACAAAAAGGTTTTACAAGAAGGGTGACCATGTATAGAGGTTCTGAAACAAACTCTGATAGAAGATACAAAATTCCCTTTTTGGTCCATGTTTTGAAAATATACTTACAAGATTCAATATTCCCCTCCTGAATATAACCAGCAATTCTCCTCAAAGATCACCACTTTGTGTAATAACCGCACAGTCTAAGACATATTCAGGGGTGATTAAACTCAGCTTCTCAGAATTAGATTCAATCACAAATTCTGGAAACTTCTCTGTTTTATTCCTATGGCTTCATTAGATATAACATGTCTAATCCCCTGACTCTTATTCACTCTAAACTTTTTCATAAATATACCCTAAGTCCAGGTTACCCTAACTCTAATCTTCAAATTATAATAACAGTAATAAGTGTTTATTAATGCAAAGGATTCTAACTTAGTAGAGAAAATACTTCTAGAAGAAAACAATCATTCTTTTCATGTGTAGATCTGTCTATACAGTCTTTCTTGATCTTGTAATTCCCAAAACCTTTTCTTTGGATTTTAAAGAAATTTCTTTCCAAGATAACTATTAAATACTATTTATGTTATTATTATCTGTTGGAGATTTTCCTTCTAGAAGAGGAAAGTCTTAAAACTGGGGGTATTCGTAATCATCTTTTTATCCTTTATAAAAATCTGGCGCAAGTCCTCCTACACAAATGGGTGGTAACACGTTTATAGTCTGAAAGATAACGTGCTGGGGAGGGAAGGATGCCAGCTGAGACGGGAGACACACTGGGAGCCATTCCGTCCCAACAAGGGAAGACCTTTTAAAGTTCTCAAGTGAGGGGGAGATGGGACTTGGCAGTGAGAAGAAACTTTCTACCCAGGATTTGGGAGGGTGTCTTCATGTAGAAAGACTCACAGGACAAATATGGCTGTGAGATCACAAAGCGGTCTTCCTGGCTGCCATGAAGGAAGTAGACAAGGAGTGGATGGCCAGAACAGTTCCTTTTTTGTACATTTCCTTTTCACTATTCAAGGGCAATAGAGCACAGCTGGTTACCATCCTCTTGAAGATACTGGGAAGTCATTTTAAACAATGCTGACCTCGTGCTCTAAGCTCTAATACATGCGCTTACCTGCTCTTCTCGAGTTTGAATGTTTTGAACACTTTCAACAGATTATTTCTTTCGCATGGAAAATACACAAAATACTGCCTCCACACTATGGTCCCTCAACCCGGGCAGTGCAGACAACATCGTCATAAGACATGTGATGAAAGGTGTTTAGCGATCTCCACGGCCCCAACCCACATGATACTTATGGCATTCTGTGAGTTATGGCAGTTAAAATGATCTCCGGGGACCGCCAAAATCTTGTGAAGCCAAAATTATCCATAACTGAAAATAGCTGTTCAAGAGATAGAAGGACCAGAGCACTACCACTGACAATTGCACACCAGTGGTGGCCCAGAGACCAGTGGCTTCTGCCATCGCTCAGGCGCTTCTGAATTTCAGGTTCCACCCAGATTTCATCAATCAGATTTCCATGGGATCATACTCCTCTTGAGGTTTAAGAAGTATGTCTCTGTGACATGTTGCTTCTTTTTTACTATGTCTACCATAGTAGCAGGTAGTTCTGCCCAGGTAGCAGAACTGAGCTATATTCAAAGGACTCAGAAAATTTTAGGCAAAATGGGAAGTTTTGTTTTGTTTTGTTTTTGTTAGGGTCAATTTCACTCATTTGAAGAATTTCTCTTTTTTTTAGCACCTTATTATTATTTTTTTTTTAATTCTCTCCTAAAGGCCACTTGTGGAATCCCTTAACGTAAGACCAAGAGTGTTTGGTATACTTGGGTCTGTTCATTCTACATATTGCAATAAATGTCTGAGGGTGGGTGGAGGCACCGAAGAGCCTGTACCACAGAAGATCACACACACACACACACACACACACACACAATAATAATAATAATAATAATAATAATAATAATAATAATAATAATGGAGTTACAACTGTCCTTTTAATTTAAAGGAGTAAGCAAAGAGTAAAAGCATGCCCTCTAACTTTTAGTTCAATGTTCATTTTATTATTGTAGATATTCTTGGAACTTTATATTGTAGAAATGAGACAAAATGGCACTTATTCTCAACAAAAGAGAAAAGAACACGACAAACAGAAATCATAAAACGAAGCAAAACTGGCTGAAAGTCTTCAGAGTCCAGAGAAGGAAAATACTGAAAGTAACTGGAAATGACGTGCACTCTAAAGTCAGATGTCTAAAGGAAGTGTTAATCTCCCTTGTTCCCCTGAGAATGTCCTCTTTAATAATTATCCCTTGTGCCACGTTTTGTTTCTCCTGCTTCAACCTACTAAATTTGCCAGCAGTCCTGTGGATCCCATTCTCATCACTACCGTGTGGGTGAGCTTCAGCAGCCAAGAAGCTTCCCTATATTTCCATGGGATTCCACAACAAAAGCATCAGTCACCCTTCAGAAAAAGCTTGGTGACTAGAAAAAGCTTAGTGACAGGTAACCTGGTGACAGCTTTAGAATGAATTCAGGTAGTTCGGTCTCCTCTGAGACCAGTTAAAGGAGGAAACTTCTTTGGCGGCAACTGGCTGAGAAGGATGTTGAGGAGGCTGGTGTGGAGAAGTAGTCATGGCAACAGAGCTCAAACCAAGCTTCTTAAAGGACTTCCTGGAAACACATTTATAGAGAAAAGAAATACAGGAGTCTGCTCCTTTTCAAGTTATGGCCACATGTTATGGGTGTAGTCTTTAAAAGCAGATGAGGAAAATGAGGTTGTTGACGTTGAAGGCTATTTTTTGTAAGTCAAATCACTTTTGTGTTTCTGTCGGTTTGTTTGCTTGTTTGTGTGTTTGTTTTTTCCTCCAGGATGAAATTTAATGTGTAAGATAATAAATGAAAGAAAGAGATACATAGCTTCCAGGTCTGAGTTTATTTACTCTAAAATAGCTTTTTTTTTCATAGAAATAATGATTTAATGGATTTAATGGCTGGGTAGGGTAGCAGTCACTACTTCTATTGGTATATTAGGAAATTGAATCTTAGAAAGATTGAGAGATTTGTCTAAGTGTATTACAGCAAGAAGAAGATATCAACTCAGGTCTCCTGAGGTCAAATCATGGACTTTCTGTAAACAGCTATTGATTGGTCAGATTAATAAGGATGAAAATATAGCCCAATGTAAAAGCAATGCTCAATGGGCCCATGCAAGTATTTTTACCTTTTTAAATTTTTATTTTATTATTTATTACAAGTTATTCACTTTGTATCCCGGCTGCGGCCCCCTCCCTCATCTCCTCCCAATTTCATCCATCCTCCCTCTTCTCTCGCTATGCCCCTCCCTAGTCCACTGATGGGGGGGGTCCTCCTCCCTTTCCCTCTGACCCCAGCCTATCAGTCTCATCATGACTGGCTGTAATGTCTTTCTCTGTGGCTTGGCAAGGCTGCACCCCCAAGGAGGAGGTGATTAGAGAGCCTGCCACTGAGTTCATGCCAGAGACAACCCCTGTTCACCTTACTAGGGATCCCACTTGGAGACTGAGTCTATGGGCTACATCTGAGCAGGGGTTTTAGGTGTTCTCCATGCATGGTCCTTGGTTGGGGCATCAGTCTCTGCTTGGCCCAAGTGTTTTTGTTCATTTGCTTGTTTTGTTTTGTTTTGGTTCTGTTGGCCTCCTTGTGGAGCTCCTGTCCCCTTTAGGTGTTTCTGTCTCCCCTGTCTTTCATAAGATTCCCTGCACTCTGCTCAAGGTTTGACTATGAGTGTCAGCCTCTGCTTCCATACCCCAATGAGTAGAGTCTTTCAGAGGCCATCTGTGGAAGGCTCCTGTCCTGTTTCCTGTCTTCTCCTGCTTCTGATGTCTATCCCATTTGCCATTCTGAATGAGAAATGGATACAGAACTTGTGGTACATTTACACAATGGAATACTGCTCAGCAATTAAATAAAGGAAATCATGAAATTTGCAGGCAAATAGAGGCAACCTAGAAGCAGAAAGACACATATGGTATATACTCACTCATACGTGGTTATTAGACATGTAATATAGGATAAACATACTAAAATCTATAGTCCTAAAGAAACTAAAGAAGAAGGAGGACCCTAGGAAAGATGCTCAATCCTCATACAAGTTTTTAACCCTGCATAGCTTTGGAATATT